GGACTACGATCGTTATCGTGTACATGTATCGTCAATCGTTGTCGTGTTCATATTTGTATTCGTTATTTTTTGTGTTTATTAGCCCTCGTATTTGTGGCATAATATGCCAAAAGAAAAAAAACACAAATTAGTCGGTTGAGAACTTTAATTTTAGAATTTGGGGATAATGTATTTTCCGCAGAGGGAAGAATTTTATTTTGCAAAATATGTGAAACTGAAGTAAAATATGAACGGCGATCTAGTGTAATACAACATATACAAACAGTAAAACATAAAAATGATTTAACGGAGAGAACTGTTCAATACATGAACCCAGCTAATGATTACACAAACTAATACTGCAGCTAAAATATAATTATTATTTTTTATTACATAAAAATTTTAATTACTGGGTAAAGAAGACGCTGAGTGTTATAAAATCCAAATTTTTTTTATAATATAGTATGCATAAAATATACATTTTTAGTAATATGTACAAGATATGTTTTTTAACATCTTTTTAATTAAAAATAAATGCATATTTAAGCGCATATTTTGATTTTTTTTGGGCATATGTATGCGCATATTTTTAAGATTTTAAGCACATAAAGTTCGAGCCCTGATAATAATATTATTCTAATATCCAGTAGGTATCGATATAACATGGTAAGTTCGAACTTAGAGGTTTTTGCTCGACGATAAGAAGATGATTGGTTGACAATATGAGGATAATATGAAGCGTTGTTATAGTGTTCTGCTCGATTTTAACCGATTGTGTACTACTTTAATAGCCCGTTGACTCTTCTAGGAAAGAATCTATACATGGACACGTTGCATGATAAGCAACCTTTCAAAATTGTAATTACTAATTTTTTTCATAGCAATTCAAGGTAGATACTTTTATTTTAGATTCTAAGCCGAACAATGAATGTATTGATTTTACAATGACAAGTGCGTGTAATAATTTTCCTGTCTTTTCTACTATTTTTCTATTAGAAATAATGTTTTAGTTTTCAAATTCAAGATCTTTTCTAATGAAAAATTTAATCAAGTTGGTACTTTTAAGGGGTCAAATTTGAAACTTAATAGTTTTAGAAAGCATAACTTAAATATGTTTATTGTATGTATATTGTATGTAATTTATGTTTAAGCGAACAAAAATTAAGGAACTCAAAACCAGTTTCCCACAAAATAGAATACGCCAGGTTACAAAATGGTGAATACCTATACTTTATACTGTTTTCATCAGATGTTTATATTACCATTTTCCAAAAACCATAAAATTTTAAAAATATTCCTTTTTTATCTGTTTGAGCTATTTATAGGAATAAAAAAATTATTAGTGATATAAATTTTTTTTTCTCAGTCAAAATGCTTAAACACAAGGTTCAATACAAGGTTAATCTTAAGTTGTTGTAAATGGAAATTTAATATTATATTTCTGGTCATAAAATATGCTTTTATAAAAGTTATTAGTGCAACAATATAAATTCGATCTTAACAAGATTTTGTTATTATTTTCTCTGCTCTCTTAAATACATCCTGTCTACGTCATTAAGTTAAGTTACTCATCCCCTACACTGTCGAACGACATACATATAGGTAATATTATAACTATTCGATGTACTGCATCTTAATTTAATATTTTCTCCACGAAGCTTTCGGAAAAAATAATATTTTAGAAACTCGATGCGGTTTTCAAATGAACGGAAAAAAATGTGTTTAATAGGTGAATAATATGAAGGGCGTTCGTCGGTGGAAAAAAAAGCGACGGTGGCGGTGAGAACGCGCGTTGGCCATTGTTTTCGTCTGTCCATTGATCGTTTTTCCATTGAAGATAAAACCGTTTCGGACGAAAACAGGGTCGAACCCAGGCGGCGACGGTCGTGGGTGGCGACAAGGGTGGGCTCGGCGCCTGGGTGTACCTCTCGCGGGTGCGTCGTCGTCGTCGTCGTCGTCGTCGCCGACGCCGCCGCCCGAAACTCGTTCCGTATGAATGGGCACACGCGCGACGACGACGACGTGAAGATGCGAAGTTTTCGGTTTCACAATCCACCGCCACCTACCGTCTTCTTCCATAACATGGTACGACAAATAACCGTTTGAAATATTACAAGAATAACTACATCTATACACCCACACAGTATGATCATAATAATAATTAGGTCGTCGATTTGTATGCAATAAAAAAGTCAAAACATGAAAATATTTGTATTATTATTTTTGCCAAAATATTATGTATAAGACAAAATGAAATATTTAACAATACGTTTTTATTGAACTTTCGTTTTTAAAATTGTTACTACCTAAAAAATATAAGTATACTGAATATTGTATGGAAATACAGATGAATGAACGATAAACACTAGTCACTAGAGTATGAATTGTATAATTAATTCTATTATAGCGACATCAAAAATTGTTAACCTATTTAAACTCATTTATTACGACGTTCTCAATTATTACAGACGACAGATCTAACGTATTTCCCCACAAAAAAATTAATATTGTCAATATGTCAGTGAATGGGTTAAGCATACGGATACAAAATAATTTAATAAAACGATATACTGTGCTTATTGATAAAATATTTAAGAAAATTCTTTTAAAATATGCTAAAATAGGTAATGATGAATACGATTTTTAACCAAGGTGTTATGAAACGAGTGAGTTATTTTAAATCAGAATTAAGAAATCTACATTAAATAAAATGTTGTAAGTATATTTACATAATAACCGTACCCTAATTATAAAATACTATAATCTCACCGACAGCGTGTTCCCTGTGTCCCAGAGTCAAAAATATGTGTACATATAATATACAGTGTGATGCGCCAAGCATACACCTCTCCCTCCCCATTTACTTAAAAAATGTATTCAAATTCAGATTTTGGAAGCTTTCATTTTTACTATAAGCTTGTTTCAAATTATTATTTTTTCTTGCTAATGTTGATGCGTTTTAATTTAAATTCGAATAAATAGCTTCCGAGTTATTAAATATTATGTAGATACTTACCTAGAATGGTGGTCTATGATAATGGGTAAAAATCAGCAATAGTATTTTAATGATATGGCGAATGTACTAAAAGTTTCACATTTTACAATTGTCGAAAAATGTTTGAGTACATTTTTGTAAGCTATTGTAATTTGTATAAAACTATAGGATTATATTTTTAAAATAGAAAAAAACTGTACATCTTTTTAATGAAATTTTTCTAAGTAACAGATGTATTATCTTCGTCGAGCCGTCATCAGTCCGTTATACTGAGACTCGACTGTAATACTCACGTAATAATGTACAATATTATATTATGTTGTCTCGATGATTTTATGTTAACATAATAATTAGAGTACGATAATAATTATGTCATTTTCCCGCCGAGGTCGAGGTATTTATGGAACGCGTGTGAATTTTGAGGAGGAAACCTTATATCACACACATATTATAATATTATACACAGTGTATATTATTATGATATATTGTATAATGTCGTTGTCGTTGTTCGGTTTTGTGGAAGGTACTTATGTAATTTACGTTTAAAGATTTCAGTTTTAATAATAATCACAATACATATTGTACGACCAGAATAATAATAATTATTATTAAAAAATCTCACCGACGACATATGATTTTCAGAGTCAGAAATACATAGCCCTACTATATTATGTATTATATAATATGTACAGTCGACTATAGACCACTCGAATTTCAAGGAGAATAAAATTAAATAGGAATTTTGTGTTTCTCGAGTTATATATTACTCAAACACAACATAATATTGTACAACTTTAAGGAGAGGTTCGAATTATATCGAAACTTGACTGCAGCATATTATCGTGAAGTTATGCTATTAATAATGTAGAATAATGTCGATGTCGTCACTACTTACATATGTACTAACGTCAAACACATGTCGTATTCCATCGACTCATCACTCGGGGTGGAAATATAAATTACATAATAATATAATATACAATTATGTACGGAGTGATTCACCAATTATGCTCACTATCATTTTTTAAATTTAAAAATTAACCATCCAAACTTTCGTTGATAAAATTTTTAAGTATGGTCCAGATTTTCAAATAATCAGATTGTCGACACTATTTCAGAAGAGTTGTATACAATCTACTTTTTTTCAAACGAGGATAGATACAAGATCTATGCTAATAGCTGTAGTTATTTAATGGGCTAAGATTATTTAAAATTATACCTAGTAACTAATAGTAATCTGTAATAAGTACAAGAATTGCATATATTTTAGTTTTTTTTCAAAAAAAATAAGGATTTTTATTCTTAGTACATTATATTATGCACATTAAAAAAAAACTCGAGAACTACTCTTTCAAGTTTTAATAATAAATTATAATAAATGAATGTTTTCAAAAAAAAATCATCTGGTTCATAGTTGCTTACAAAGAGGCTTATATCAATCCAAACAAAGTTAGTGTGAAAAATAAAAGAAATTTGTATCGTCACTGCTGCAGGGCACTCCTCAAACTGTGTGAAAAACCTGATTGTTTGAAAATAATAATAACAAAATGATGGTCTCTAAGTGAGCTAAACATTTCAAAAAACAGAATTTCGATCAATTCTTTATTAGAGAAAAAAAAAATTAGGGAATGGGGTGAACACGTTTGCTGCAGGTGAATCACCCCTGTATTATTATGTCGTATTTCTTCGGTTTTGTGTTGGGGGTGGGGGAGTGGGTACTTGTGTCGTTTACGTTTAGAGATTTTGGTCGACGGAGACGCGCCGGTGAGCGTGTGTGTGTGTGTGTGTGTGTGCAGAGTATTCGCGGGCCGAGAGAAGTTTAACGACAACGCGCGGGCGGTGGCGACGGGAGAGGTCGGCCCGTTGAATCAATACGGCGGCGGCGTGCCCGGCGCGCCGAACGGTGGCCGCCGCCGCGCTTGTGCCGTATTTCGCGTATTCCGCGGCGGTGCGCGCCGGGCGGCACCCCAGCGGCGGGGCGGGCGTCGTCGTACGCCGCCGCCACCGCCGCCGCCAAGCAGCTGCTTGCGGGTAAGCACTGCTCGAATGCCCGGAGATCTCCGGGAACGTTCGCACCGGAGACAACTCACGGCGGACCACGACGCGCACACGACCACTGTTGTTGCGGTTGTTATTGTTGTTGTTGTTGTTGTTGTTGTTGTTGTTGTTGTTGTCGCAGTTGTTGTTGTAATATAGTCGTTTCCGCCGCCGCCGTTACGTGTAATTCACCGCACTCGTCGAATTTCTTTTTGTTACTTTTTCTAGAAATCTTATCTCATCCGATCCTAAATAGTCGACCACGAAATACGCAATCAAGACGGGGGACGCCTTTATTATCATAAATTCTATTTTTCCGGTCTGGTTTCCTCTTCCGGTTTTTTTGTTCCGACCATTATGTAAATTGCCCACACCGACAACACTGACGACGACGTACTTCTGCGCGTCCGTTTAACGGTTCATCGGTGGACTGCTGCTGAAGACGAGGACGAAGACGAGGACGAGGACGACGCCGAAGACGGTTGAGGTGGTGGCGGCGGCGGCGATGGTGACGGCGTGCTGCTGCTGCTGCTGCTGCTACGACAACCACGCCGCCACGCCCGAGCCGCGATGACCGGCCGCGCCGCGCACACAGTGACCGCGACGGCATGGCTCGTGGTCTGCGTCGCCTTTATGGCGCCGATGGCGCCGCCGGACGCTCACGCCGCGTGAGTACACGTCATGACGATAATTTTGTTATTGTTGTTGTTATTGTGTCGTCGCTTGATTGCCAGACAATGTAGGGAGGGTGGGTCAGAGATCTGTGGGCTCCGGAGATCCAAAGCTGTGACTTGGCAGTCACTTTAATGTTGTGTGCCCATTATTTTCTTCTGATTGGCCACGTTTTAACCAGTGACGGATCTAAGTCTTAGGGGCCGGGGTGCAACTACTATTATTAACGACCGTTCACTTATAAAAATAATAAAATTATATTCATAAATGCCTATAAAATATACATAATATTATGATCTATGATGCATTAATTCTTAATTCATTATTTCTTTGCATTATAATCTTTGGTGTTTGATAATAACGAAAATTGTATTATAAAAAAAAATGTTTGAATTTAGTATTCCAATGAATAGAGTCTGGAGTATTGGAGTATAGTGATAAAACTGAGTCCATAATAGTTTATTAAGTAAATAGAGGCGACTAATTTCTTTATTTTTTTTCTCGATCATTAATCATATAGGAATCTAGTTGGAAAATCTAGACATCAACTTGTGGCCTCTAAAACAAATTTAGGATTAAGGCCCCAGTGAATTTAAACCCTTGTACCCCCTCCCTAAATTGGACACTGCAAGTTGTAATCATGGTATCATTCATTAACGACAATCTACCGTGAAATCCGGGCAGCTCAACTTTTGAAAGTTAATTTAACGGCTTAATAATTCATATGGGCACCCATAATAATAAATAACGTAATATACCCTGACCGTGGTATTAGCGTTTGTTGAACGCTCTGCCAGAGACGACGTTTGAAATCCATAAAACCACTCTTCCAACCCCGCCCAAGCCTTTAGTTCAGGCTAGCACGGAACGGTCAACATGATATTAATACTATTATAATAATGATATCACTCGGTCGTGCAGGACCTACAAGGTTCGCCATGTTCCATAATAGAGATTTGCAAATTACCATTTGCGTCTTATATACCCTCATCATCAACCCACCATGACAATTCGTCAACGTAGCAAACGTATCGCAAAAGTAATTCCATCATATAACAGTATATATTATTCAATTCTATCATAATATATAGGGACCTGTCAAAGTGTTCTATCAGATATCGCTGCAATCTCGTAATGATGCACTGTTTTCTAAATCCAAAATCGAGTGAACTACCCTCCCCACAGCAGCCTAAGAAATTACCTTTCCTCAAACGCACAAAGTGGTCAGTGGTTATTTCCATAAATTATAAATATTAATTATATTACATAATATTGTTATAACTCAAAAAAGTACAATTTTACAAAAAAAATCGGTAGTTAATAAAAATATTCATTCACCTGTCCTTCTTATCTCTTTAAATTAATATTTCACAATTAATGCTAGTATAATACACATATATATTGCATAGGTACACGTGTATGTATGATAAATAAATCCTAAAATAAATCATTATTTGGTTTTTCATGGTGTTAAGGGTAGTGGGATTTTTAAAAGTGCAGATAATTTTGTCATTGATATGCAATTAAGTAATTTCAAACACCAGCCTCCTCTAAAATTATGCTGGTAAGTTAGGTTATGTTAGGTCATTAATATCTGCATTGGCCATCTTTTAAAAAATGACTTAACTGCAACATCAGTAATAAAACAGTTATGAAAAAGTGGGCATACTAGACCATGGGGGGAAAAGAAGAACTAGTTAAAATACAAATAGAAAAAAATTAACAAAAATTTGAGGGTATCGATAATAGCACACGTATTTCATTGGATAGACGTTTGAAGTTCAATGAATCTTTATCATCGTGAAGAATTGTTTTCTAGTATAGATATGTACAATGAGTTATTTTTTCATTGAATTAAACTGACTGTGCAACATATGATAACCTGCAATCTTTCCTATATTTTATAATTTATTTTTGAATTAATGACAGTCAACTGCCGTTCGAAGAGTACAAGGAATGTTTTTCTATCACAACACTTATATTACCAAGAAAATATTCTTAATACACAGACAATATTCTATTGGCAATTCGAACGATATAATATAATGTAAAGAAAAATACGAGAGAGGCTAGACCGACTTTTGAGGAAACCAAGCCTACCCTTCCGTCCACGGACGCCTTAATTCATTAAAGTATGTTTAATCATTTATAAGTTATAACACTGCAGAGTCGAGTTTTCTTCTTGCCTAAAATATAATACTGTATACCAATTTCGATAAACTTTACGCCGATGAAAACCGACCCAAATCCTAACGGACCAATGAACGTTAATATTATAGTTATATGCGACTGCTGTGTGCGTGTAAATTATTATTATTATTATTATCATCATACAGAGACGCTGGTCGGGAAACCTACGCTTTTATTTAACGCCCGCTGAGTGCAGTTGTAGTAGTAGTTGTACATCGAAGAACAATAAAAACGGCGGAAATATGGGTTTAACCATCCCTACTCCGACTTTGTGCGTCCATGTTGTATCTCGTACACATATACATACATGATAACTATTATTGTTGTACGTACGCTTCATATACCTACATAATAATATAGTCCATTCAAAGCGTGTGTAAACGCGAAAAATACTATTGCACGTGTTACGGATGTTGGTTTTTTTCCTAGTTTTTATATCACCGTTCCGAAACGTCGTGTGCACCACACATGCACGACCCTCCATCCAGGCGGTTTAAAGAGGTTTTTTAATATTTAAAAACATTTACTCTGTCGTTTTCCATTGTAACAATAATATCTCACACACACTTACCCATACTATAATAATAATAATATATAATACATGTTCGCCCGGGGACGTCTCGTCGCCGGCTGAGTTCGGCATTTCGTAGGATATTTATAATATAATTATGTTTATACAACACACTGACACGCACGCCACACAGATACACGCGTAATAGTCGGCAAGTCGGTCGCAACTGTATTTTTAAAATTGCATTTTTTAACAACAAAATTATACGGAAAGTCTGATTAAATAATACCGTGCACAGTGTATTTTCAACAATAACATATTCTGATTTGTATATAATGGAAAATTAATAATATGAATAGCCTGTTTACACAGTGTAAGTAAATTAGGCAAAGCTCTCCGAGATAAAAAGCTTTTGTAAAAATGCATTTGTTGTCGTTCAAAAAAAAATTCTGGCTGTAATACCTGTCCACACCAAACATACAAATATGTCTGAACGGGAAATAATACCATTACATAATATATTATGTTCGCAGTCGAAATCAGACACCTAAGACGTTGAACGCCTTACTAAAATATCATTGAGTTACCGTAATATTGCATATAAGTATAAGGTGTCATGTAAACGCATATGATTCCTAAGTGTATAATATTGTTTTCTTAAATAATTGTATAAAACTCATATGTGTCAAAATTGAATAATTCCATACAATCATGACTGATGTAGGTATATATATATACATATTATGTACTCGGGAATACACTAATATTCATCATGCTTTCAAGACGACTTCTATGTATTTTCTTTCCTGCATAGGGAGGGTATGTTTTTCCGTTCATAATAATTGTCATTTTTGATTAATTATATTATTTGCACTAAAATTTCGTACTAAAATAAATTATAAAATCAAATCAATTTCTACATCTTATGGTTGATATTTTCGAACTCGGAATTGCACTAGTCCAGTGGTGGGTGCTCCAAGCCAATGTAAAGTTACGCTACTAATTATCACAAAATATAAACGTACCTATACCTACATAGTATATTACATTATCTTATTATACATTATAATATATAAGCAAATGGATTCGTCGTATGTATATATAAATATATACACAGTAGGGGCTAGGACCCCATTCGCTTTACTCACCAACCCCCACCGGCTTACGATGTTCCCCTGGGAGTTTTCACCTCCACAGCGTAAAAGTCGTCCCTTTTAAATCTGAAAATGTAATATCTATAATTCAAAATATTTAAAAATACAAAGCTTTTTTGAATAATAGAGAGTCTTAAGTATTTTTTTTGTGTCGCAATTATGTTATGTTGAATACCAAAATATGTATAGACCTTTTTTTATTATGATTAATACAGTTTCCGTAACTAAGGTTATTATGTCTTACACATTATTAAATATCAATAAAACATATAAATGGTTGAATACAATGGTTTTTTTAGATTGAATTGTAAATAATATCAATATGTTTGATAAATAAGATGGTTTTGTAGATGATGTTTTCCACTGGGTGGAGAGCATTTCTAGGCTTTTTATAGTTTCCATAATATGATATCGATATAACTCATAAGGAATTGCTTGCATTAGATGACCATGGGACATCTTTGAGTGATCTAAACTTTACCTATTTGTATTTACAATTAATGAGGTTGAGTATGTGGTAGTATTTTTGATTAATCTGATTTGTTATTTGATTTACTCCGCAATTCGGATTCCCATACATGGGTACAAAAAGTGCTAACATTCCTATAGATGTCAATAAGTAAGGAGTGCTTTCGTCATAGTGTTAATTGCTGTTTCTGGAGCTGCTTTGTCAACTTTCACATTGCCATAAATTTCACAATGACCTAGTGTCTATAAACCTTTTTTATATACCTAATAGAGAGATAGCCAGTAATATATTTGTATATTACACACAAATATTATGTAACGAACCTTACTGCAAATTTTACCTGCCTATATAAAAACAAGTGTCGCTGTGTTTTACATAATATTATACAGCGGAAGCACTGAATCGTTTCTTTTTTCTTTCAAGTTCTTTTAAATGTTTATTTTTACCTATCTATGCAATAGGTGAAATCAAAACTTCATTTTAAAAATAACAATTTTTGTGTCAGTTAATACAATATACCCAAAAATAATTTATCTGTGTTTATAAACCATGTCGAGTTTTCTTAAGAACATTTTCACCGATATTTTGGAAAATAATATTATTGGACATAGTAAATAGTAACCAACTTGAAGAAGTTCAAAATAAAGTCCTCCTCTTTACATGTTACAAATC